AGAGGCTACAAACAATCCCAGGCTGCAAAGGCTCATGGGTAACTGCTGTGATGGACTCTTCACAAATATGGCTGTATGCGCTTTAAGCTGTATGTGGCAAATAAAAACAGATTTGAGTAACTCTTCTAAAATGTGCTAAATAAATGTATATATTTTAGCTATCAAAAAAATCTTATTTCTGATTTGTCTGTTTTTTCTGTGGATGTTTTTCTCATCTACAATGATGAAAAAAATCATAAATCCTGAAAGCCATTGTTATATAAAAATTAACACGCGTATTAAGATGCAGTTTGGACGTTGTGTGTTACTTATTGCAGCGTATTCTCACACTGTATGTTTTGGGCATTGTTGTGTGTTCATATCATTTTATTCTACAAATCAATGAACTGAGGGAAAATTTCCATGTTATGCAATACTCTATGGGCAATAGTTTTTCATTCTGTTGTACATTTAGAAAGTATTTTTTTCTGTTACAGTGGAGTGATGTGTTTGTGGTGCCGAGGGCTATGTGGTGTCTGTCTTTGAGAACATATACACAGTCCACATTTACTGTACTAAAGTCGGTTAAAAACACATGAAAAACCCAAGAGACTTATAGGGGATGCTTCCAGCTGGCTTCGTGAAAACCATTGCAGGTGGATACATCATGCACTTCCTGCCCATTGTGTTACAGTGAGAGCAAACAGGTGCTCTGCAGTGAATTCGGTAGAGGAGCAGCGAAAAACCCCCATGGGGTCTGAGACCCCCTCAGCCCCCTGGAGGGCTGGTGAAACATGAGCTGGGGGGTAGGGGTGGCCAGCAGCAGGGGGCCGGGGGCAGGGATCCGGGGTGGGGTAGGAAGTGGTTGAGGCGGTGGTGGGGGTCCACAAGCTGCCATGCAGAGGGGGATGGGGGTGTCAGATGGCCATCGCTACTCTGAAACGTGAGCCCTCGGGTGTCTGTGCTGGCTCTTAATTAAACAACCGGCTGCCAGCTCACTCCCTGCCCCCATCTGAGCCTGTGGACATGAATGGGGTGTTCCGAGGGCTCACTGCACCTCTGTCCCTTCGTCTCTGTAGACAGTGCTTTTCTTATAAAGAAACTCCCAGTGCTGCACTGCAGTGCCCTACATTTTACCCTGAGTGTTGAAGTGGGAGGCTTCCAGCTCCACTGCAGTGCTTAAAGGTGTTCAGTACAGGAAAATCAGGGGGTCAAAGGCATGTGATGGGCTCCACTTGGACCTGGATGTTTAATGAGACTGTGACTAATCTCCTCTCTGGTCCTTCTCTGCTTTAAACCATCTTCAGACTGCAGTGAAGACAACATAGTGCAGCACAGGCCGGAGTTGAGCATTACAATATATAACATTATGCCTGAATTACGTTAATGTAACAGGGGAACAAATCAAGCAAATGAATTGCATGTGGTCCTGTGCGACCCTCTGAATGTCTGACCTCCACTGCAGAGATGCTCTAGGCTGAGGAGATGAGACACATTGGGCCCTGAGAGTCGGTTCACATTTATAGCCACTACAGCCAAGAGCGCTGTTAGATACTGATCCTAATAGAACACAGCCTTTGTGCCTTGTGGACTCAAATGACAGTTACTTTTACTCAAGTATCAAATGTAGAAATGCACAGAGGACAAGGGAGGGAATGCAGGCGATAGGGCCTGGCCTCCACATCTCTGATTGGCTGACGTGCAGACAGCGCTCACTCCCATTGGCTGACCATGGTTTCTCTGATTGGCAGATCTTCATCACGGTGAACTGCCTCAGCACGGACTTCTCCTCTCAGAAGGGCGTCAAGGGGCTCCCGCTTATGATCCAGATCGACACCTACAGCTACAACAACCGCAGCAACAAGCCCATCCACCGCGCCTACTCCCAGATCAAGGTCTTCTGCGACAAGGTGAGCTCTCTCTCTGCAGCTGCCTAGAGCAACGACCCAAAAGCTAGGCCTGTGGCCTTCTCCCCTGCCTGACCCGCAGGCCAGTGGGCCTTATAATGGGCAAAGCTGACTAAAGGCTCTGACGCAGGAGAACTGAATGTGAAGGAGAAAGCACTATTCCTGCATGGATGTGACATCACAGGAGAATTCTAACAATTGCACAGGTTATAGGGCTGGGCACTTTGATGCTCTTTGTCACCCCCTAGTGACAGTCACAAGAATTGCTTGGTCTGATCTGAAAATGTCCTTCAAGGGTGACTCCGTTTTCTCATATGAACTCCAGACAATGTCCGGAGAATCAGGTCCAGACATTGTCCGGAGTTGCCCTTTCACACATGTAGCACACAACAGGAGACTGTCCATGTCAGACACGTTCTCACCTACCAGAAATACTTCTGGTTTGGTTTAGGCGAGGGGTGGCGCCTGGGTAGAGCATGCAGGAGGCAGGACATGACGCAAAAAGTATGGTGTGGAAATGGCAGTGTTTTGTTTACAACACGTTAAAGATAGCTGGTTCGTAATTTGGTCATAAACAACCGAGTCTCTTGCCATTCCTTGAATTTGTCTGACGATTTCGGCGCCGGCCCTTACTGACAGAAGTTCCCGAATCTCACCGTCTCTCCAGTTAGACATTTTCATTGGTGTCTTTGTGTATATCATGTAAATGATGTTTGTATTCGTCCAGTTTTGCACCAGTCGCATGATAGAAACATCTTTAACACACTCACTCGCTCGCTGTGAATTCTCTGGACAATAACCTGCTCTATTCACACATGGACTCAATCGGATATTACACTGACTTTGTACTAGATAGCTGGCAGGGTAAAGTCCGTTTAATGTCCGGTCCAACTGATTCGGACATTTGCATTCTCACATACAGCTCCTCCGGGTAATGTCTAGATAAGTTCAGGGTTGCAGTGCATGTCTGAATGGGGCTTCAGACGCACAACTGCAAAGGCATAGCAAATCATTTGTGTAAATTTTTGTGTGTCTCTGAGTTTGGTCCAGTATTTATGTGGGCACATTGTAGGAAGAGGTCCATGAGGGTCTTGTGCTGATTGGGAAATCATTATGACCAAAAGGGGGCAACTTTGTACAATCTGTCTGGTTTACTATGTCTGTCCATCCATCCAACAGGGAGCTGAAAGGAAGATAAGGGATGAAGAGAGGAAACAGAACCGCAAAAAAACGAAAGGTCAGACATGCTCCACCCCAGGAAACAATGGTGAGAAGCTTGGAAATGAACTTCCTGTGCAGACTGTCCAGAATACGCCTTCACATATATAGCCGTCAGTAAAGTTTACCGGTTCCCTTTTTGCTATAGCGAGCATTACCAATCTGGCACCTAAGCACAAAGGCCCCATGATGCTGAGGTTCAGGGACTGCGGCTCGATGTAAACAATGCGTCAGTGCCTGAGGGAGTCTGTGACGAAGCGAGGGGGTGGGAGGCCTCTTGCCTGTTGCACGGCAACGGCAGGGGTCTGCAGACGTTCTGTGTCTTCCAAGGTCTTGCGAGGACATTAACGTCACTCGTACCTCTCTGGCTCTCGCAGGAAAGGATAGCAGCCCCGCAGCCTTGCCCGTGCCCAAGAAGGCGGACACCACATACTTCAAAACCATGACAGACCTGGACTCCCAGCCTGTGCTCTTCATCCCTGATGTCCACTTTGGGAACCTGCAGAGAGCAGGGCAGGTGAGGCTTCAGATTTGGCTCAACCACGACAGCAGAGAAATCACTTACATGGGCTGCATTTTGACTTGCCATATTGGGATGGTGAAATCTGTGACACATTAGGGCGGGGTTTTATGTGAAATGTGAATCAGACCTTAGAATGCGAAATGACAAACCCAGCAGTTACAAGGGCAGTGCTTGTTACTATTAATTTTTCCTGAAATGCAAAACTCTGACAAAAACAATTAAGTTCATAGTTCATGAGGAGCAGGTAGATTAACACTTTGATCGTCCTTCATTTTAAGGGCTCCTTAAGCTATAATAAGCACATTGCAATCCATCAGTTATTCAAAGTCCAACAAAAGCAATATGTACATCTTAAAATTCCAGGTGCTAGTTAAAAACATATGTATGATTTGGCTTTGTCATGATCACGAGCTTTGTTTGCCTATTCAATAAAGGTATTTTTCGGAGCTACAACAGCATGCAGTGCAATTTCATCAGTGAGCCCATCACATGCCTTTGACCCCCTGACTAATAAACTGGTTGAAGATCTGCATTGTGGTTGTCTGTATATCACTTTGCAAACAGCTGCACTGTGTTAATATTAATGTTATTAAAATGAACATAGAACATAAGAACATAGAACAGGAGAGGGATATTTTAAAAACAGTTTGCTGCCTGATTCAAATATGTTTATTGTATTTAGAAATAAGTTTTACTTGATCAGGAAGTATTTTTATGACTAATTGCATTTATGTCAAGCAGTATTGGCTGGCCCTTGCAATATAATGTGACCAAAGTATTTGACTGAGTTTCAGCCGCAATTCAAGTGCCTTACTTCTCCCCCACATTTGCGGTCAGATAACTCTGTTGTATTAGGAAATATCTCTCCAGCCTATGAGCCTCTTATCTTTTTTATTGTGCTCCCGACATGCTCATTTGCCATTGGCACAGTAATAAAGTTTGTTTGCACTGCTCTCTCCACCACTGTCTGATTCGCTTGGAGCACAAAGCAAATTCTGGCATTACGTGTGCAGGGGTTTGCAGCCTTTACCTGACTCTCTATAAGGCAGCTCGGGCAGTCTGTAGGCGGAAATACACTATTGCATATACCTTCACATTCACATAGTGAAAGACTACAGAGAGGCTGGACTCATAGCTGATGTCTGTGTTGAGATGAATCTTGCAACCTCTACCCTCAGCATCTCAGTCTGGGAATCAGAGTGTGTGTCAATCAACAGTGGAGTTCTGGAATAGTGAAGACTGAGGCAACTGCTTCTGTAATGTCCCATCACATCACATCACACTCACCCAGTGGACACTCTTTTTCAGAGTGACTGACATAGCTTACAATTTTCACATGTTACATGTCACAAATACCTTGCCCAAGGGTACAACAGCAGTGGCCTGCCTGGGAATCAAACCAGCAACCCTTGGGTTGTGAGCCCTGCTCCTTAACCCCTGTGCCACACTGCCATCCATTATAGGAAACTACCTGCTTTGGAGAGGTGTTTCATGTCTTGTGCTCATTAAGTTAATGAGCGCAAGGCTCCGAGGCACAGGATTCTGTACCCCATTATAGGCTCATGGTGTCAAACATAAAGGAATGCTGTCAGGTTTCACTGAAATCCAGGCTTCTTTGATACTGATTACTTCTGCCTGTTAGATTAACTCCTTTACTAGCTGATCTGAGCTTCCCATCCTCTGCCCCCAGGTGTTCGCCTTCAACACTGAGGAGATTGAAAGGGATGGGTAAGTGTGCTGCGCCTGAAACGGTCTCTCCTCCGCAAAATGCACCAATCACAATCCCATCCTGAATGGATAAAGCCAGCAAGGACTCACAGCTTGGCCTTGTTTCACATTTAATTGGAACAAACTGTGTATGATAAATTTGAATTTAAGCACGCACGCGCACACACAGACACACACACACACACACACACACACACACACACACACACACACACACACACACACCCAAGATCTATAGTTATCTGCTACATACAGTACATTTATTTTGCTGGCATGACTGGGGGGGTTATTGAGCTGACCAGCTGACATATAAAACCGAAGTGAAAGCAAGGTGCTGATTGGCTGTTGTGTGGGACAGCAATGTAATGGAGCTCTTGTGCTGTCTCACAGGAGCGTGGTGGTGAAGAGGATGCTCAGACCGTCTGAGGACGACTACTGCCCATCCCCTGCCAAGCAGATCAAACAGGAAGTGCAGAAGAGAGGTGTGTGAGTCACCACTGTGACCAGCAGCACTGAAACCCAGCAGTGCTGAAGAATGCAGTCAGGGAGCACAAAGCCACCACTGTTACTCTCAATCACAGTGGAGCTCTGCTGAATTTCTATCACAGGAATAACACACACGACATCACCCTTAGCTGAAACCATATATTTCTGTGTCCTTGTGTTGTTTCTCTGCCTTCCAACCGCTTCACATACATAACAGGAGATATAAAATGAAGCAGATGAAAAATGAAGCAGAAATCAGCTACACGGCTGGCTCCAAGCCACTTCCCCTTGATTGTGTGATGGAAATTTTAGTAATAAAAATATTTAACAATTCCAGTATTATTAATGTGTGATGTCAGTGGTAGAAATGATTTCCGCCTCTTTTTTCTGTGGTGCGATACTTCGCTTTACACAGTATTTACCCAGCTGATAGCACTACTCAAGTACTGTTGAAATGATGGAACTCAAGTACTATTGGAACCTTTAGCAGGTATAGCACTGTGAGTCTATAGTAAAAATGAGTGTGTAGATGCTGTACTTACTTAAGCTTGTTTCTGCAGTGCTTCTGTATGTGAGGAAGGAATCTGATGAAGTGTTTGATGCCTTAATGCTCAAGTCCCCAACTCTCAAAGGCCTGATGGAAGCAGTAAGTATGTCTCTCTCAGTCTCTTTGATCTTCCGGATCGGATTGAAGCTATATGGAGTAAAATGTGTTTCAAACATCTAAATATTTCAGTATTGACAGCAACGCAAACAACGTTTGCTCCAGAATGTATTATTGTGTGCTGCAAGTTTTAGTGTAGGTGAGTTGGGCAAAAAAAGATGTTCCTCCATTTGTGTTTTTTCTTTTTGCACAGATATCTGAGAAATATGGTGTGCCAACCGAGAAGATGGCTAAAATCTACAAGAAAAGCAAAAAAGGGTGAGACAATGTTCAATCAGGAGATAGAACAATCAAATGCTGCACAAGTGTTAAGATGAGTGGTAGGGCCTAAATAACTAGATCATCTTGGAACAGAAAATGATCTATTGTTGCCTTAATTATGCCTGTTGTAACAGAATGAGCAGTAATTGTGGTATCATGGGTCTGTCTTTGTCGCTAGAGCCAGGCCAGCCTGTTGTCTGTGGATTGGTCTCCTTGCATGTATTCAGCCCCAGTCAGACACGCCTATTCTGTGAGTGCCTATACTTATCTGAGCGTCAATCTTCCTCCTTTTCAGGATCCTGGTCAATATGGATGACAACATCATCGAGCACTACTCCAACGAGGATACCTTCATCCTGGGTATTGAGAACATGGCCGACGCATACAGAGTGACGCTGACTGAAATCTGAGGGACAGCCGTGTGCACGGGTCGCCACCGGGGGCGATTCCAAGGAGACAACCCCTCCACATGATGCAACAGACAGGACCTCTTCTGTAAATACATTATGGTCTTGACCTCTGTTACTCTCCGATATTACTGGGTCCTCAATGTGCAACAAGGAAAAGGCTTTCGGTTTGGGACTGGAACACTAGTAGCTGGTGAAGGCCTCTCTCTGCATCTGCTTGGGGTCCTTAAGGACCTTTCAACAGAAATGACATCACACCTAGTGGTTCTGAAAGCCACAGGAGTACAGGCAAAGATTTAACAGTATGAACAACTGCATTGCAATTGTTTTAAAGGAGGTGTCAACCAGAGTTTCTTTGAGTGGAAACCCAACAGTGGAACTACAGTAGGCCACTGGTCAGATGTGGGAAACTTCCCATTCTGGGCAGTTTGGTTTTATATTTAAACAAGGATCCATTCCTTGTCTTCTATCTCCTCTTTTTCGTGCCTGACATGTGGGGCAAAATGGCTTCTAAATTCTGGACCCAGTCTGCTGTGCTTCAAAAGAAAGCACATTTACAATGTGAACTCGTGCCAAACACAGCATTGAATTAAGGAATCTTCAAGAAAGCTGTCCTGCACATTTGCCACAGAGCTCATGTGCCAAACACACCAATGCGTTTGGGAACTTTGAGAAAGCTGTCCTGTAATTTGGTCTGTGAATAGAGATCTGCCTCAGCTTTGGTTTTAATTGTTCATTTCAGGCAGCAGAAGTTGTGACATATTTCCTCCCAGATGGTTTTGAAGTGAAAACAAATTTCTCTCCCTTCTGTGCAAACGTGGCGTTCTTCCTGTGCCCAAAGACACATTAGTGTTTACAGTAACACTAATGAATGAGTTTGTGTGCCTTGTCTCTCTCGTTCTTCACTGAAGGCCCTGGTTTGTAAGCACAGGCTTAACATTGCTTGTAGTATGCTGAGGGGCGAGAGGCTTTTACTTCAGGCAGAAGTAGACCTTGTCCTCTGTGTACCCATTCTATGGTCCTGTTTCTGACCGAGCCAATCTGAGCCAATCAGGTGTGTCCAGCTCACTGTAGTGACATCACTGCATTTGGGCCACCGCCCCAAAGGTTGCATTGCCATGATCATATGATTTGATGAATCTGAGTTCAGTCACAGTGCTTAACTTGTCAAAGCATGGAACCACAGTGAAGTGTCATCATGTTCATTCTTTTCAAACTTAGGTCCAATGAGATGGAGAAAAGACTACTTTTTTGTAATAAAATACCCCTATTAATGATCTATGCAAGTTTGAATTACTGCCATGTTTCTGTCCTGTTGACTCACAATGGACTGGAATCATATATGCTGATATTGTTGCTTTAATAGAAACCCTTGCCATTTTGACTCATGAAAATTGGTTTGCTTTATAAATAATGAATACCCTTTTTCAAAATTCAAAATCCTATTCATTTCACAATGTCTTCCAGAAACAGAATAATATGAATTCAAAGTAAGTGTAAACATAACCCAACTACCAGACAATTTCCATGTTGAAAGCATGACCAGTCAGTGCTGTAGAAAGGCATGTCTTGTATGGGGGTTAGGGCACTTGTACAAAGTTTTATTGTATGTTATGTTGAATACAGCATTACATTTTTGTACATAGTTTCTTTTTAAGAAATAATAAACATGTAGTTTTAAATAAAAATCATCTGATGTCCAATTCTGCTATTTGCTCAGTCAATTACCATGCCATTACTGTTGTAAATAGTTAATTTTCAAGCAAAATAATGAATGATTACTCCAGTATTTGAAATGGTGGAACTAATACCAGTCAATACCATACCACTTGTGTTCTGACATAATTTGCATAGGAATAATATCTATTATACGTGCTTGCTATACAGCACAGAATATGTTTTGATCAAAGGGTAATTAAAACTTGAAATATAATCCAATTTGCTGCCATCACCACCATGAAAACATACATCTGAACCACATGTCATTAATAAAAACATTTAAACATTTGCATTGACTATTAAAAGCTGCGAAGAGACCACCCAATCAAGGTCATCTAAAATGGGACGAGCAGCTCACCCGTTAGGAGGCTGTTAGCGGTGCAATTTTTGCTGCAGTCTCTGTGCTACTGACACACTGTTTCCGTTTATGCACGTCAAGTACTGTAATACGCTGCACCTGTCTGACCCAGTTTATCTCGCAGGTGTTCATTCTGCAGAATATGACCGCATTCAAAAATAATCGTTTGGCGGAGTCAAAGCTACACCACAAAGTTAGCCAGACTCAAACAGCGTATGCTACCTGAAAAACACATTCCTTTAAAAGCTGACGGTTTACTGAATAGTTAAACTCATCATTTATCAAGTATAGCCTACTAACTGTATGTTCATATGAGGTCTTCACCTTTTATATTTCATAAGGAAATTGAAGACTTAAAGTGAATTTGGCGCTCTATCAGAAAACTGTGTGTCACTGGCTTGTATTACTCCATGGAGTAATATTATGTCAGACTAAAAGATGTCCGTCCCCACTCTACTTGGAAGCACTTCAGCCCCTGCCTCTCCACACCTGTACTCATTTTAGTCCTTACACAGTTGGGCTTAGTGTGCAGAACACAACAAACCAAAAATATGAGTTTAATCAATAATTAGTTAGTTATATACAAGGTATGCTTAAATTATCTATCTAGGCAACTATACAACTGCCTGTTAGTAGCAGGGTTTTACTTGATTACTGTCAAGATTAGTGAGCCTGTGGCCTTTAGAAGAGGCAGCCTTAGGGAGGCGTAAATTAGTGTTTGAAGTTCAGTTTGCTGGCAGTTTTGCTATCAGTGTGTGAATCAGACTTTAACATTGGGGCTAAAGTTTATCACTGTCTCTGGGAGTTTAATTTGGGCTGGAAATGTGCT